GCTACCCACTACCTGAGCCCTGACCCTAGCCCTGCATGCCCCCTGGCCCACTGCCCAGCAGCAGGCCCCCACCAGGACCTGGGAGGAGGTCCTGAGTCACTGCCAACAGCCAGGAGACATGGCTCCAGACCCCACCCTGGGTCCAGGGCCATACAGCCTCCCCTGCCTGGGCCCAGCCCCACTGCTTGCCCGGCTTCACATGGTGTGGTGCTGGAGCTGCCTACAGTAGGGCCAGGACTACACAATGGCTCTGCTGGCCCTGGCCACTGGCTACCAGAGGGGGATTAGCCTGAACCAGGGGACCAACAGCTGCCATCACCCCTGGGCGAGCCCCCCACCTGCTGCACGCGCCATGGCATCTGTACCCACAGAGGAACAGCCAGAGGCCAGGGTGCTGGCCACCTGCCCCCAGTCTCCATCCCCAGGCACCCCCACCCCACAGCCTCCCACCCCAGGATGGCCCACAAAGGACACTGTGAATAGTTTTCAGGGGGAAGAAGGTAGTTGGTGGGTGGGGTGGGTGGTGGAGGGGCTCTGGATGATGCGAGGGAAATAAAAACTTGATCTTGTGAGATGTGTGTGTAGTGAGTGTGGTGCTGGGGGTGGGCGGGGGGGTCTGTGGGTGGCAGTGCAGGCGGGCTAGATTGTGGAGTGCCGAAGGAGGTGGTTGGCCAGTGCCTGGTGCCCTGACCCCACTGGTTGGTGCATGGCTCTCCTGGGGCCTCAGCCGGGGGGGCGGGCATCGTGCTCATAGAGCACGGTGTCCACCAGCATGAACTGGAGGGCACTGCAGACCTCCAGGACAGCTTCCCTGGCGGTGGCCAACGTACTGCAACAACTGGTGGGCATGACCAGCTTGAGCAGGGCAAGGGCCAGGCAGATGTCCATGTGGAGAGGCCTCTGCATACTGGTGCCCTGCCACTCCAGGTGGGGCCAGAGCTGCTCCATGAGGTCCTGGAAGGCGGCCCAGGTCATCCTGAAGGCCTCCAGCCACTGCTTATCTTCCCAGGTGTGCTGGATGATGTGCCACCACCAGTCCTGCCTGGCCCAGAGGTGGCAGGGCTGGAGGTCCAGGAGGATGACAGCAGCCTCGGTATTCATAAGTGGCATGTGGAAGCTGCTCGTCAGCATCCATGCTGGCGGGACCTGCGCAGCAGCAGCCCTGGGATGGCGTGCTGCAGACAGACAGGCAGTCACTGCATATGGAGGAGTCAGGCAGGCCCAGATGGCCATGGGCCAGGTGGCGATCAGTGCAACAGGCCAGCAGTGCCAGCTTGGGCCCAGGGTGCTGGTCATCACCGCCAGGGGCAGGGGCTGGAGCAGCCATAGCATGGGGAGGCAGAGTGGGCAAGGAGAGAGCTGTCGTGTGCTGTCCCGGCATTGGGCACTGGATAGCAAAGTGGTTGACCAGAGAACAGCGAGTGGTGCTGCCTTTTGAAGATGGCTGCCCACTGCTGGCTGCTGGCAGCTGCAGCTGTAGCCTGGCGCTCCCCCGGGTGGTGGCAGGGGCCCGTTGCAGGGCTGTAGGAAGTTTGGTGCTAAGAGCAGCAAGCCTCCCTAGTTGCTGCATGTGTAGACGCCTGCCTGGGAGCATTTAATCTGCAGAAGTTTACACCAGAGTAAACCGAATCCAAATCAAATGCATGTGTAGATATGCCCTGTCTCATCTGGAATAAAGCAAGGATTTTTTGGGGATGATATCTTTTATTGGATCAACCAAAAAACAAGTTTGAACGCAAGACATTCTTTCATCCTGATAAAGAATGTCTTGCATTCAAAAGTTTGTCTAACTTTATTCCAACCATCTAGTTGGTTCAATAAGAGATACCACCCCAAAAGAAATCCTCACCTCTACCAGAATTCCTCGACTATCAGAGCTACAACGTCACTCTAACGCTGTCTTCGGAAAGAAGAGACTTTTAGACACATTGTTCTTAGTACTGTGCTATACCTGTCCTCAGGTCCTAAATCAAGATCTGCTGGATAACAATGCTAACAGCTGTAGAGGTGTTAACAAGCTAGGTTTTTATTAACCAATACACAAGTGGAAATAAATGCTGGAAAACAGTGAATTCTGTGTATTAGATTGAGTGTTTTCACATTTTCCTGTTTATAAAAGAATGTAAGAACTAGGTGTTTTGGTTATGGAGAGACCCCTCAGTTTATACCTAACAACACAATTTTGCCCTATTAACTAATCATAATTATTATTAAAAATGGGTAAGAGACACATTTCAAATATGGGAGTCCTACTACTGCCTTCCCAATTCTAATTCAAATGTTATCTGACTCTCAGCACCCACAACTGGTGGGTACAATTTATCAGCTTCTACAATAGTATGCAGGGAAGGAGAATTGCATTTGGTTTGGGGGTTACATTTTATACTAGGGTTAAGTTCTGACCCCTTTGGGTCAATGGGAGCTTTATGGGGCCAAGATTTCACTGTCATTACCCTGTAATATTGTTTTACAAATAGCGGTCTGCGGGTTGAAAACTTGATTTGGGAAAGGACTGGGGAAAACAGTGGCTCCTCCGAATAATGAGGTGAGGAGTGGAAAGTTTAGAAGGCAAAAAAAGAGCAATACCTCTGGGATACTGCAAGGCAAAAATCTGCATTGATGCACTGGAAAGCAACTAAGTTAAAAAAAGGAAATTTGGAAAAACTCCAAAGCCCTATGTACTCAGTTATTCCCTCCCAAAGAAGTACCTCCATGCTTGCAAGTTTGGGCATCGTATAGGTGTATGGAAAGTCTTCTGGGAAAAAATTTAAACTTTCAGCTCAGAGCCAGACAATGGCTGGCATTAGGATGGGACCAGAGGGGCAGAGTGTGTCACAGCCCCTTTGCAAAGGCAATGAAGAGCTGTAATTCCCCTTGGCACCTCTTGCAGTTCAGCCAGGAGTGGGGTAGGGGCACCAAGAGAAAGGGCCTGAGGCATTTCAGGGAAGGGAGAAGAAGGACACTGAATCCCTGGAAGTGATATCCTTTTGGGCATGCTTCCTCTAGCTACTTCCGAGTTGGGGGGTCTAACCTCACCACCCCACTGCATTAAATAGGGTTGGGCAGGCCCAGAATACAAGTCTTTAATTTCCATGTGGGAGCACCACAGTTGGGAGATACTAGTTAGATAACGCATCCGAGAAAGACAGAGGACTGTGACAGGAACACTGCCAGTGCTTTAACACGTGTAAATCATGTATATGAGGGTCATTACTGTGCGTGCAATGATGCATGGCCTCCTCATGACACTCTGCTCCTGCCAAGGCAGAAGGGCAGCACAAAGGCAAAGCAGGACGCTCCAATCTCAACCACCACTGTCTGGGGGAGAAATTCGGAGGTGCCCAATACTTCATCTCCAGGTGCCCTGAGGTGCCTCCTTTCCCTAGAGATCCCCAAAACCAAGCTCATTTCAACTCCCAAATGAAGCCCAGCGGCCTCTGAGGAGGCACGCAGCAGTTGTCGAACAAGAGTCCAGCGCCCCCCACCCCCTGCCACTAGGAAATAAAGAATTAGGTGGAAGACTCGGGGCAAGGCGGGCAGGCAGCATGGCCTTCATAACCCGTGGTCTAGCCCGGACGCAGCGCTCCGGGGAAAGACGCCTGGGGCTGGCTGGAAGCCCTGCCCAGAGGTGCCATTCTTTAAAACTGTCCCAGAAAGCAAGTCAGACTGATGAGGATGTCGTGTTGTAATGAACTAGCACAGTTTTAAGGCAGGCCATTTCTGTCTCTCTGGAATCAGATCTGCACATCTGTCTCATAGGCACTGTATTATTATGAGCAAGCTGATGATACAAGTACATAAGGGCTGTGCAGCAGGAACTGGGGAGAACGTCTGTTCACCAGAGCGCCCCAAGGGAAGACAAGGTCTAACGGTCACAAATTGCTGCGAGACTGTTTTAGACTGGACATCAGGAAAAACTTCTTCACCCTCCGAGTCTCCAGAGTCTGGAACAGACTCCCCCATTGGTGAGGCGTAGGAACAGACACCCCCTGAGATGGGCCGTGCACTCCCCTGGAAATGCCAGCAGAAACGCACTTCCCATTTTGCAGCTGGCTCAGCGACTGGCCGCTGGGGACCCCCCCCATCAGCGAGTGGCTGGGGGATGCCCCCCCATCAGCAATCTGGTGCCCCCCAGACTCAGGAGGCACCAGTCGCCCAGGGGCTCCCCCCAGAAGTGGTGCAAGCACCTACTCTGGATACCTTTAAGAAACGCCTGGGTGTTTTTCTTGCTGGGGTGATCCGCCCCAGCTGACTCCCGGTCCCTCGGGCAGGGGGCTGGACCCGATGATCTCGTGAGGTCCCTTCCAGCCCCGCTGTCTGTGAAACAGTTCCCAAAATCTGGCAGATTGCGCCCCTCCAGCGGAAAATGCTACAGCCTTCAGTACCACCAGCAAGCGTTTCCCTTCAACCTTCAGCACGCGTTTGTCACATAAAGTAAGTGTAATAAATCTGTTAACACGCACCACGGGCAGGCTGGGTGCCTAACCCCGGTGGGACGCGCACCACCGCTGCCCACAGCACCTCCCGCCCCAGCCCAGCACCACCAGCGCATGTTGTCACGGGCAGTGACGATGACACACAGCTCTGTGAAGGCGTCCCAGCGGCAGGTCGCGGGCCCCGGCCCCGGCCCCGGCCCCGG